TATGTACATTTCGAGTTAAATAAAGTTAAATAATAGCATTTTGCTAATGTGGCCTCCTAAGCATGCTGATTACTATCTCTCTTTTGAGGTTAGATTTTTCATCAAAATAATTATTCCGATGTAAATTGATTATACTGTTAATCTATAGTTTATATTATATGTACTGTAAATTTTTAGTATGAGCTACTTATATATGAAAGAAGTTATGTATGTATATATGCATACATTCTACAATAATTTACTTTTTGGTTAATTTTGTAAAAAAAATATTGGTTTTTTTTTATATAAAATCAATTTTTTAAATCAATTTTTACGGAAGGCGACAATATCATCCTTGTTTCTCTTCGAGTCATTATGCAGTGTACCATATTTTTATAAGTAATGTCCTAAAAATAAATATTTTGTAATTTTAAGTCCAGAATCGATGAACAACAACGAACATAATTGTCTTAAATTGAAATATTGATTATTAATGAAGTTATTGCATAAAATGTAAGTAGAGTGCCATAATACCATCTTCTCCTCTATCAATTCATACGTACATGTGTGAATTAAATGTACATACATAGTGACTTTATCGTAAGCTTCGGGTTTGAAGAGATTCATCCGTGCTTTTAAAGTTCACGCTTCTTCTTTCGTTTTGCTTCGTCAAGATTAGATTCATTTACTTCCGTTCTATTTCAGGTAGGATCGTTGTAGCAGTACCTTGTACCAATCAGTACCGTTGCGACAAATGCAATAAAAAAGTCTACAAGAACAAGGGCAGTCTGATACGCCACACAAAAAATGAGTGCGGCATACTTCCGCAATTCAATTGTCTATTCTGCAAATATAAAAGTAAGCAGAAATCCAACTTACTACGTCACATTAACAATGTCCATGGTATCTCCACTCAAACCTCTCGCGAAAGTCGCGACACATCATCCACGATAAATGACACCGTGAAACACATCTCTTGCAAGAAATTTTGACCATCGTTTCTGAAAGTGAAGATGAGCGAACAACCCTGAAGATTTGCCATTTGGTGATAGATAGACTTTGCTATAACGATACAAATTATTTTGTATGATTTAATGTACAGAGCGAGTCCATTAATTGTAAGAAAACATAATCGTCTGGAAGATATATCTTGCGTTAAATGACAAACTGACTTAAAATATAAGCAATTAGAATCTAAGAATTTTTAAGGAAACTATACGTACTGCTATTTCCAAAATATGTACGAGATTTTAAAAACAACTAATGATTTGTATTATTATTGGCCATATTTTATAGTAATTGTAAAGTGAAAATGTAGATATTACCTGATATTAATTGATATTATATTTTATTTTACTTTACTTCATCTATTGTATATATAAATATCAAAAAATATTTATGAGAAATTAATATTGAAGAATAGGTTAAATTTTTGGTTGATTATTGATAGAGGGCCTATTTGGAGAGATACTATTAGCGCTATTTATATCATTTTATCCTTGTTTTACATCTGATAAACGATAGAAATGATACAAATATCGCTAATGGCAATCTCCCCGAATGGCTTCGTTTAGTAGAAAAAACAACGTTGCAAAATTTTATAATATAATTTAATATAATGTGATATAAATTTTAATTGAACTTTCGAATATATGAATTTACAGTGGCTGGAACAATATGTGTGCAACACTAGTCACATTTTTAAGTTTTATTCTGTTTCCTTTTGGAGAAATTCCCTTTAAATTTATGAAATTATAAATTAAACATCGGATAAATATTATTAAGAGCACGGTCCGCATAAAGTTTCTAAAATTTTATTTACAAAACATTGTATCATTATATCAACAGCTTTACAAATTCAGAATTTAGAATTGAATTTCCATCATCCTTAATCGATGAATAAATTTAATAAGTTACAAACAGTAATTGTTAATAGAATACTTATTATGATAGAATTAAATAATACATTTAAGTCGTGTTACATCACTCTCATGATGAAATTAATAAGGTGAAATGTTGCGCATCATGTCGACATGAAGGGGGTAGCTTAAAATTTCGAGCAATCAGCCACGGAGAGAAGCGAAGTAATTTCAAAGTATAATTTTAATTGGAAGTGAAAATGCTATATTTATAAAATTTATTATAATTTATTGAAAATTTATTATATAAATTAAACTGGAAAACGTTAATAACAACGAATAAGTACGACAATAAATAATAGTCGAAGCTGATTCCCCATTATCGCCAAATTTTATTAAATTGGCTTAATACCTATCCGAGATACACTGTAAATGTATCAGCTGATACTTAACACTCTGCTATCAGTTATTTGAATTTTGCATCATGGGGCATAATTAATTATACTACTCCTTTATACTACTTTTGGACGACTGCGCTTCATCTTGTATCATTCTACCATGACTCTGTATGTTACAAGACAAATTTATAATTGGATCCTCGCTCATATATGTGATATATTTTTTGTATATCATGCTCGTATATATTTTTTGCAAAACAGAATTTTTCCAGATATCTCTACATGAACATAGAATTATAAATTAAAAAAATGAATGATTAAGAAACATAAAGAAATTATATATCACACAAAATTCATCTTCATGTATTACAAGAAAATGAGAGATATTCATATGCTTGATATTCATATACTTGACTTGATTTTACAACCTCAGGAAGACAGACAACAGAAATTATAATAAAATTTTTTTCCTTTACAAAAGTAACGAATATATCATCGTTATATACGAAAATAAATAGTTTGTAAACCTCTCTCTCTCTCTCTTTCTCTCTCTCTCTCTCTCTCTCTCTCTCTCTCTCACGGAAGAAATAATACTTAATAACATCCACGCCTTTTACAATTAGAAAGTAATTTTTCCTTATCTACAAATAATCGAAAAGAAAATTGTTTGAGCTGATCAAGAATATAGAAAATAATATCAAAAAAATTAAAATTGAATCCTGAAGTTTTCTTAAATTTAAGAAATAGATCGATATATCCATTATTAAACATCCTCTAGGGTAGAGATTAACGGATAAAAAAACTGTTATCGTTAATTGAATTTACTAAGGAAGTGATAAGTTAAATTTTTTGAAAGTCTCCATAATTAACAATGGGAAATTAGAATTTAACATATAATCATAAACCTACGGTTTCAGAAAGGTAGCACAATTTCCTATCCCATTGTTTCCATTCCCACAAAAAAGAGGTGTTTTAATGAGCCTGATAAATCAGAATCTTTATTAGCGCATCCAAAATTTCATGAAGAAAATTTGAGACGAATTGTAGAAATGTTTTCAGACAATGACTATCATCCCATCAATTTTATATTTGACACTATTAATGTATTGTAATGTATGATTGAAATCATTTGGTAAAAGAAAAACTTTTAGACAACGACAGAAAAAAAAAGAAAAGAAAAAAGGCATAATTTACGGTTCCTTGTCTTTCGATCATTTTAGAAAAATTCAAGTTATGATGTGATCATGAATTTAACTGGGAGAATGTGAAAATTTTAGACAATGAAAGATATTTTAATAAAAGATTGATCTACGAAATGTTGCACATAAAAATGCAAAAAAAACGGATTAAATTCATAATCTGATACCGAATTTCTACATTATGCATACATTAACATATTATAGAAGTTCACATAATCACGAAGATAACATTTTTTTTTACACTATATATATATATATA